TAATGAAGCTATTTTTAAAATCTCAAAGTTTTGATTCAACGGAGTTATAAGCGTTTGAAGTTTTCAAATTTTGTCCGACCTATTCTATAGCATCCAGCCCACTTACAAACTGGGGCTCTCAAATTGGCACCAATTCTTCTATTTCTCAGCCATTTCTGCACGGAATTCCTTGAAAATTCAAGATCTGATCTGTGATGTATCTCGAGCACATCGGTTACCTTGAAAGATCGTCGGGCCGACGATCTTTGAAAGGAAACAGTCAACAGTTCCATCGATGAGCCTCTTTGAAGCCCCTAGTTTGAAGATGGGCTGGACGCTTATTGACTTGATCCACTGTGGCGCGGCAGAATTTACACCACCCTCTCTTTTTTTCCGACGCGAGAACGGGACGGAGTCTGGAAGCCGGGCTCTCCCGCCTGGTCCGGTCGCGGCTGGGTGCTCGGGAACCGCGAGACCGGGGGGGGGGGGGGGGTGCGGCGATAAAAGCGAGCTTTTCCCATGGAAGGTGGAAGGTGGATGCGGATCGTCTGCCCCGGGTGGAGGATGGAGGTGGCGGTGGTGACCGGCCGGGCCGAGTGTCGCCCACTCGTTCCGCGTTCCCGGGCGGACCAGACACCCGCACCGGGACCCGGGCTCACACTCTCGCGATCCCGCTCCAGTCCGCCGGTTCGGCCACTCGGAGGATCTTCCGTTGTCGTCCTCGTTGTGTCCGCCCGTCTCGTCTCCCGATGGTCCTGCTCCTTTTCGCCTGGCGCACAGGGGATCTAGTCAGTGGACGAGGTTGGATTCGACTGCCGTGCTAACAAAATGGCAATAGCTGATGTAGCTTGGTTCCTTTTTGCTTCACGCCGTCCAAATATTTTTTTACTATTTTTTTAGAAACTAAATCTGAAAATTTCAGGGAGTAATATGCACGTAGCTTCCTTCTTTTTTATCAGGGGAAACTTAGCAACATTCAAATGTTAATAAGGCGTTTCCCCTCAGCACGGTAATAGATTACCCATATAGATAGAGTATTGACTTTTTGCACTGGGTAGACATGCAGTCCAGCACATGCAAAAGTGAAACATTTTATTCATTAAATACGTTTGTTTGCAAAATCAAATGTCTTTTAGGAAAGAGAAAATCGGGAAAATATAAGAAAAATCCAATATGAAATTTTAGTAGACACCCGGAAGATGTAAGCTCTTCAATTTAAATTCGAAGAAAATTAATTCTAGTAGTTCGAGTTAAAATATATGTCTTGTCCGACCTCTCTCCATGACTGAATCCACTGTGCAACGCGCTGCGCCCCACGTCCCGTTGCCAATTCGCAGAAGTGGCGTGGCGTGCTTGGCGATATATAGATTGTCATGCCATATGAACCTATGGAAAAGGATCGATAAACAGGGTGTTCGCAGCGAATACCTTACTAATCTATTCTTTTTCATTGGTTTAAATGGAATATCAATCTGTACAGCGCAGTTCTCGCCACACCACTGATTCGCAGGTGCCCTATGCGGTCACCTCGCATTCCGAAGCACCTAAATAGGAATAGTATGAAAGATTTGACTTTTCCATGATATATTTCATGAAATTTTACAAAGCTGTACATACTATGATAACATATCGAGGGGCTGGCTATGCAACACGTACTGCACTAAACGCCTTACAGCAAAAACTGATTTGCAATAATTTGTAACTGCGGATAGTATTCTTCACTATTTTTTATAATTTACCGAAATTTCATGAAATATTTACCATGATATGCGGACCGCATTCAAGCCACATCAGCGATTGCCAAATTTAATTGGGAAAAATATTTTCTTACATTAAATCGGTTATGCGGATTTTTGTGCAAATTTCGGAGAATTTTCTATACAGCACGAAGCAAAGAGCGACGCCAAGAATGGCACAATTTGGGCCAGGGGGGATTTTTCTGAAACCGGGCCCAAACGATACCTTATGATACCCTAAAACTCTGGTTAAAATTTTAGCTTGAGTATACGCACGGTTTTTGAGAAATGAGGGGGCAAAGTTGCCAAAGCGCCATCATTCTGGACAGCATTTCTACAGCAAAAAGACGGGAAAAATGGACGAAAAAGTTACGCTTTTGATGGGTTTCGGCTGTAAATGTTCTTATTGGGCCCCGAAGCATTTAACTGTGTTCAGTTTCAAAGATTTTGGTCGCACAGTGGTCAGAAATGGGAAGAAATCGTCGACAAATCAGGATTCTTTGTCAAATTTTTAAAAACGGAAATAAAATTGTCGGTCTACTGCAGTTTTCATGGCTAACAATATTCTTATCGGTCCTCAATGCATGAAATTGTGTTTAGCTCCACAAATTTACATCGCACAGTGGTCAAAAATGGGGGAATTAGTGGACAAATTAAGATCCTCTGTGAAACTTTTTAAAAATGAAGTGAAACTGTTGGTCCCCAGTAGAGTTTAGTTCCCGGAAAAATTCATGTATTTAATTTTTTTAATTATTACTGCATGTCAAACCGTATTGTTTATAGAACGTTGTAATAGAATAGACTTTTTAGCATTATCTCAATAAAATATGCAAACTTTCAGAAATTTAAAAAAAGAAGGAAAAATGGAGAAAAAAAATTAAAAAAGATTTAAACAGTCCAAAAAAGAATTTAAAGAATTTTTCCGGGATCTAAACTCTACTGGGGACCAACAGTTTCACTTCATTTTTAAAAAGTTTCACAGAGGATCTTAATTTGTCCACTAATTCCCCCATTTTTGACCACTGTGCGATGTAAATTTGTGGAGTTAAACACAATTTCATGCATTGAGGACCGATAAGAATATTGTTAGCCATGAAAACTGCAGTAGACCGACAATTTTATTTCCGTTTTTAAAAATTTGACAAAGAATCCTGATTTGTCGACGATTTCTTCCCATTTCTGACCACTGTGCGACCAAAATCTTTGAAACTGAACACAGTTAAATGCTTCGGGGCCCAATAAGAACATTTACAGCCGAAACCCATCAAAAGCGTAACTTTTTCGTCCATTTTCCCCGTCTTTTTGCTGTAGAAATGCTGTCCAGAATGATGGCGATTTGGCAACTTTGCCCCCTCATTTCTCAAAAACCGTGCGTATACTCAAGCTAAAATTTTAACCAGAGTTTTAGGGTATCATAAGGTATCGTTTGGGCCCGGTTTCAGAAAAATCCCTTCTGGCCCAAATTGTGCCAAAAAACGGTCGTTTTTGGCGTCGCTCTTTCATTGAACTTTCAAAGAAATCCGCATAAACGTTCTCTTGGAAACAAATTAAATTAACCAGTTAGATGTGGCAATAGCTAATGTGGCTTGGTTCCTTTCTGCTAAACGCGGTCCATGTACTTTATTCCTATCTGTGCTGTGCATGGAGGGTTTGACTGGATTTCGAAGTGGTCTCTTATGATGTGTGTATAGCAATCGACTTTTGGGTAGGCTGCAGCTTGCCTCACCTACAATCGATTATTTTAATGGATTCAAATGAAGGGAAAACAGAATTGCCAACTTGCAAAATCGCTACTGCTTTTTATCCTCTTCCAATGAACCTTTTCACATGAGCGAGCATATCTGCCGTGATAGAGAAGATAACAGTAAATGTATTTCTTAATGATCCACGCTTAACACATGCTTTTATGGGTCCCGCGGTTCATCCCAGCATACACACTGAAAAAAAAAATTCGGTGTATTTACCAAGAAAAGGGTAAAATTACCAAGAATTTAGGGTTCTATTTGATCCCAGTTTTTTCTTGGTAAAATTACCATTTATGGAATTGGTAATTTTACCGAAAAATCTCGGTAAAATTATTGAACTTTCTCGGTAATTTTCCTGGACCTTGGTAAAAACGCCAATATTTTTTATCGACTGTGGTAGAATTACCGAGATAAAATGGCAAAGTTACCGGGAATTGATTACCAAAAAAAGTGGTATTCTTACCTGAAGAAAACAGTAAAAATACCGGTTTTTAGGTAAGCTTACCAGTCTGTCTTGGTAAAATTGCTAATAATTGGTAAAAAAGTGAGATGGTAAGGGTACCAACGGACCTTGGTAAAAACGCCGAGAATTTTTTTTCAGTGCACTTACCGCTCTCTTCGCTATCACGGCGGATATTGCAACGTTCGATTCGAGTTTTTAAACTGCAGGCATTGAAATACTACAGGCGGGACCGAGGGAGGAATCCAAACCCCCTGCACTCTCACAAAACCGCAGTAAAATTTGCAAACACGAGGCCCTTTGTCGACTCGACAAAAGGCGAAAAGCACAGGGGATTTTAAATCGATACGCCGTTTCCCCTTTATTCCGGAAGCTGACGTCGGAAGAGAAAGATGATTACACGTACGCTCGTACGCGTTAACGCACGCGGGACGCGAGATGACGTCGCCCTCTGACGGGAGAGCGTAACACAGTTTCCACGTGAGCCCTGTATTACGTATGAATCCATGTTCTCTGAGGCTCATGTGGAGCTAGAGATACGGCATTACGCCTGGAGAGAGCGCTAACGGCGTTAAAAGCCCGACTCGCGGCTCGTAAAATCGATGGCCGTTGATTTACAACGAACGCGAACCTCATATTAGCCGCTGACGTGTAGTCTTCGGTTCAAAAGTTCTTCCGGACATTGCCGACGTTTTCACCACGTTCTGTCGTCGCTCCATGGCGGGGAGTGTTATCGGGGTGACTTTAAATCGGCATGCAGTGGGTCAGGGAAACTTCAAAAGCAGCGTTGCCGAAGAATGAAAAACATGATATTCCCAGGGTATCTATTAGTCCGGAAATAGCACTGATTTTATAAGCCTGTTTTAGTAGACACCCTGAATTCCGTGACCTTCCCCTGATGAAGTGTGGTAAAAACTTCTCAAGTTTGAGAAAATGCAAATTGGCTAAAAGTACGCATGTGCAAATAGTTTTCATGAGCTGTCCGAAACGGTTCAATGTACTTTCTGTTTCAAATAAAGCTTTTTTGTTCTTACGTCCTCATTTTTTGAAATTAATATGTCGGTTTTAAATTTGTTTCAGGTATGATTCCGCCCTCCAAACAAATTTCTTCAGGTAAGAATATTTCCTTGTTTCGTTTTTTTTCTTTTGTTCCTTCTTCTGACACACGGAGAAAAATTAATTTCGACTTAACCGCAAGAATATGAACTTTCTACGGGAATAGCGACCGTCGTAACAGTTGAACCGCATGCAGGCTAAAGCACCATCGGCTGAGCTGCAATTCTATCAAACGACCAATGACGAGAGGAAATTCAAAAACTAGTTACCGCCATCAGATTTCGCCGTGTATTATGTAACAATTCATATCATTTAAAGGAAATTCAGGGGCGAGAGAAAAATAGCACTTTTTTTAAAAAAAAAAACTAGACAAAATTATTGTAAGGAAAGTTATGTAAAGGCGGAGCTGGCATTTAAGTTTATTTTTTCAGTATGAAACAGCGTACATTATCTTAGCATCACTGAATTTTGTTGACCAGGTCTTGAATTCCTAATCTTCAAGTATCGATAACTGCTCAGTTTTATCGACTTTAATTTTTCTTCGTGTCTCCACCAAGACGTGTTTCTAATCAGTCAAAAAAGGTGCAATATCTGAATTTTTACCTACAACCCTAATGCGTAAGATCCTTTGTTTGCCATGAATTGTCCCGTATTTGGTTTAAAAAAAATAGGAGGGGAGAATATCAATGGCCCAATTGCGGAACCACGTATATCTATCTTGATGTTTAAAAATCTCTGCTCCTATTTAATCTTTGGGAGAAAAGCAATTTTCTACACTGGAAAAAAAAAACACATTGGATCTAGAGTCCAGAATTTTGAAAACATTGACGAGAAAAAATACTCTTGATTCAATCAGATTTGTGCTTAAATCAAAAGGAAATCCGCTCAAATTAAGAGGCTTGGTTCTTGATTTAAGCTAAAATCCGATTGAATCAAGAGTACTTTTTCTTGTCGATGTTTTTAAGAGTCTGGACTCTAGATCCAATGTGTTTTTTCCAGTGTAAGCTCGAAATTTTTACCGAATATTCCGCTAAAAGAGAAGGAAAGTCAAGGAAGTCTCCAAGAAATTACGTCGGCTAGTTTTCTGTGGGAAAAATTAAGTTGTGCAGGAAGTATGAAACGTCGCGGGCGGAGATACGTGGTTTCGCACTTCAGCCATCGATATGCAAGAGTGGCGAAGCGTGACTGATCGATTATCGCTATTTCCCCATTTGAAGCTATGGTAAAGAGTCGATTATTAAGGTGTTCATTGCGAACACCTTGTTCATCGATCCTTTCCATAGGTTTAAATGGTAGATAAATCGATGTATCGCAAAGCGCACTACGCCACTGATATGTAATGGTAGACCACCCGCCGTTTAAGTTGTACACCTCGTTCAGTCAGTTTTGGGAGTCGTTCCGCCGGTCGTTCAACCGGAAGATGTAAACCGAAGAAAGTTCGCTTTCGACGGTATCGTCCGGAATCATTGTCCCTCNGGGGGGGGGGGGGGGGGGGGGGGGCTTTAGCACGAACGAAAATTAATTGCTCGCAAACTTGTCTGTTTACAGTCGGAGTCTAGCGATTCGTTTCTGTCCCGGGGATACTCCGCGTGCGTTTGCAACGTTGCCGAACGGCTCGGATTTTGTCGAATATCTTTCGCGCAAGTAAATTTACAAACACGAGGTGCACTGGAAAAAAAAACACATTGGATCTAGAGTCCAGACTCTTAAAAACATCGACAAGAAGAAGTGTTCTTGATTCAATCAGATTTAAGCTTAAATCAAGAACCAAGCCTCTTAATTTGAGCGGATTTCCTTTTGATTTAAGCTTAAATCCGATTGAATCAAGAGTATTTTTTCTTGTCAATGTTTTCAAGAGTCTGGACTCTAGATCCAATGTGTTTCTTTTTCCAGTGTGGTGGTAAAGCAGGGGTCTAGCATCAGGATTTTCCCCAGGATTCTATCAGGATCTGAGGTCAATCGGGGTTAAATCCCGATTTCATCAGGATTTGAGGAGAAATCGGTCGTAAAATCAGAATTCGAGAAAAGTCGGCCGTCCGATCGGATTTTTTCATCGGGCTTTTTTTGTGAAGCTTCATTCGCCTCTTTTTCTCCGCAAAAACTCAGGATTTGATCAGGATTTGGAAAAATTATGAAATCAGGATTTAGCTGTCAAAAAAAAGGATTTCCCAAAATGAAAAAAAAAAATAAACTAGACACCCTGTAAAGTAGTGCTTGGTCCTCGCTGTTTTGCGGCAAAAAAAAAGGCAAAAATTTTAATTAGAGCAGGGTGTCAACAAGTCCAGAATTTCCGGAAAGTACGGGAATAGTACTGATGTTTTAGGTTAGGTCCAGAAGTACTGAAAAAGTGCGGTAATTCCGTAAGAAGATCCGTAATTTTTTTCATTTTTTTTCATATTTTTGTCGCAATTTGAGCGAGAAATTCAAAATTTTGAAACTTTTCTACACTTCAGTGCTGCCAAATTTCTTCACTCAAACCTCACTTTTACGAGAATAATCTCAGGCATTTCTAACTATAAACTTAACCGATTCGTCTTATAATCTCTTGCAGCAAAAATCAGAAGAATTCGGACGAAAATTTCGCGAATACGTTCTCGTAAAAAATTTACATTTTTAAGTCAATTTTGCAACCTATGAATGGAGTTACGTTCCTTCGCCCGGAAAACGACGAAACGTGGATGACACACTGTTGTTTGGCTCCGTTTCGTTTCAGTTAAGTATTTCCGTCGTGTTGTGACGTTGTGTCTTGAAGAGTCCATAAGCTCCGTGTAAGCCCCTCGAAAGCTCTAAATAGCTGAGCCAATCGAAAATAGATTTTCCGAAGTCCCAAGTGTTACAACCGAGGAACTCTAAGTTTTCAGTGCAATCTGACAACGCGGCACGGACGCGAGCTGTTTTATTGAAATAGTCATAAATCAATTAACGAAAATGGTTGCAATTAAACTGGGACGAACGACCCGTGCGCAACAGGCATTGCCGGTTCGTATCCCTGAGTCCACCGTACGTTGTTCCACGTCCGTGCGTCCGCCTTTGCACTTAGGCCTTTTACGCCTTTTTACTCCTAGTCGTTCTGTAAACTGCTCCTTTCCATAGCAGGACCCATTTTTTTTTACACTGAAAAAAAAAAAATCACATTGGATCTAGAGTCCAGACTCTTAAAAACATCGACAAGAAAAAGTAATCAGTAATCATAATGATTCAATCAGAATCTAGCTTAAATCAAGAACCAAGCCTCTTAATTTAAGCAGATTTCGTTTTGATTCAAGCAAAACCCCGATTGAATCAAGAGTATTTTTTCTTGTTATTGTTTTCAAGAGTCTGGACTCTAGATCCAATGTGTTTTTTTTTTTTCCAGTGTACATCGAGATTTAGGAAGATTCAAGGAGATCTTTAACACAGCATCGTATGAAGGACAGTGGGGAATTTGCACTTCAATTTTTCTTACCTCGCTGAAAGAACTTGAAGAGCTGGTTTCGCAGTATTTTTTAAAAACAATTCCTCATATGAGAAAAGTAGATAGTATAAAAGTAGATTTAAAAGTGAGAAATTGCACCGTGTAGGTATTGACGTCATTTGGCGGTATCTCCCAATTAAACACATGTAATTAAGCAAAATAGATCATTTTGTCATATCTACTTGGATAATTGTTCAATTTACGAACCAAGAGTATCCTCGTGGCCAGTTTATCCCTACTGCCGTGCAAAGGAAAAAACGCCGTATGAAAATTATACTCAATTTTACATACATGGAAGTCGGAATAGTTGTATCACGCATTGTGCAAGCGCCTGCAAAACTGTCGGAATACTTCAAGCATCGCGCCGTCTTCCCGATCTCCAGTCTCGCTCTCGGCTTCAAGTTCCGAGATGCGTTCGCTATTACCGCCGTGCTAAGGAAGAACGCCGTATGAACATTCGGGAGTTGCCAAATTTCTCCGGATAGAACAAGTATTTTTGTGAAAAGTCATGCTTATTTTCCTTGAAATTTTCAGATATTTTAGATTAAATTGCGGGCAGAATTGTCTATACATTTTTAAGAAAATTGTCAACAATTTTCAGGTAAATTCGGCATTTATTGGAGAAGATATGGCAACGTCTGAAAGCTCATACGGCGTTCTTTCTTAGCACGGCAGCAAAGTGGTTTCCACTTAAACACGAAATTCATAAAAAAAAAAACAAAAAAAAAACACCTGCACATTCTACTTTCCCGTCAGCCGCGCGTAAAATTCAGAATGGGGCATTTCAGGGTCATATTTAAGGTCGTTCCTTACACAGCTCCGCTCCTTAGGAGGCCCCATTTGGTTTTGATCGTTATTAGGGGAGGTTTAAGAAAGTTCGTCAGTATGTAGTAACACGTAGGTAACGAAAAAATGACACATAGTCAGTCATTGTTCCAACGGACGGTCTTACACGGAGAGAACTTTACGTGGCAACTGATCAATTACTGAAAGTGTCACTTTAAGCACAGTCACAGTGCATCGTCTGAGTCTGTGGCGTATCGTGCCTTGAGATAAATCGATTGATGTGTCATTTAAACCTATAGAAAAGGATCGATTAACACGGCTTTCACATCGAACACGTGAATATCGATCCTTTCTCACAGCTTCAAATAGAGAAATATCGAGTCGTTGATTTACGGCTCGCTACTATGCTGCCGATCTAAGGAAGAACGCCGTATGATCATTCGAGAGTTGCCAAATTTCCCTCGATAAAACATGTATTTTTGAAACACATTCATGCATATTTTTCCTTGACATGTTCAAATATTTTAGATTAAATTGCGCACAAAATTGCCTGCAATTTTTGGAAAATAATATTAGCAATTTTCCCTGTAAATTCGGTTTTTATCGAAGGAAACTTGGCAACGTCTGAAGGCTCATACGGCGTTTTTCCTTAGCACGGCAGTGTGGTCCAAGTGTTTCGAAGCGAATCCCCTACGGTGAATCAGCAATCAACAGTTCGATTTTTGCCAACCGCGAATTTTTCGCACCCCCGCCGCCGCC